TGTGTGTGTGTGTGTGTGTGTGTGTGTGTGTGTGTGTGTGTGTGTGTGTGCATTTTAATATTTTAATTGCGACTTTTTATCTCACAGCTCTGACTTCCCTTAAGAAACAAAAATATATGGGAATGAACTGCAAAATACAATGTGGTATATTACATAATGCATTTCCATGTATGGGGAAACTATAGTGCTTATATTTGTCAAAATACTGCAATATATGGCTATTTATTGATACATATAAAAATATTTAGAAATGAAGACAAAAATAGCATTTCATGTAATGTTCATAAGGTTTTATTATCCTTTATTGGGCACATATATTGCACATGGTCCCATATACAGTAAATGTGAATGAATGTATGTACAAACATATGTTCACAGAATGAGTTACAGCAGATTTCTAGCTCCCAGCATGCTTTGCTTCTGACTGTTAAAAGAGAGTAAATCTTAAAGTTAAGTGTTATTTCATGTATTTTGCTCAATATGAATATAGGGGAGATCTGTTAGTGTTTAATGTTGTATTATTTTGGAATTTAAAAGGGTTTCTGGTTTGTATGTCTGTGTTTTTGGGGTTACCATTGCGCTGAAGAGTATAGAGCCTGTCACATGTACATGTTACTGAATATAAAATTACATATATTATGATATACAATTGTCACTTATTTTTCAATATATGAAAGCGGCATTTCTTTATGTATTATTCAATATATTGTTATATATTAACACAATATATTATTCTGTATATTTTCAATATACCGTTAAATCATTTATTGATCATTCATATGAAATTTTTTTTTTTTTTGCAAAAAAAAAAAAAAGTTTTTAAAAAGTCCGAATTATATAGGCCTACACTCAGAATTGCGAGAAGAAGAAAAAAAGGTAAGAATTCAGAGAAAAAAGTCAGGGTGTAAACTTTTTGCAAGAAAAAAAGTCAGAATTAATGTCAGTTCAGATCTCGCAACAGCTTATTTATTCCAATAAGGAGGGACCTAAGGAGATATTGTTCTATTTTTAGTAAGATTTAGTACGTTTTTTTTTTTTTTTTTTTTTTTTTTGTGGGTGAACTATTCCTTTAAATATTTCTTTTCCAAAAGCTTCCAATATTTCTAATTAATTTCTTTTATTTTCTTAAAAGCTTTTAGCTTTTCGTTTTAATTACTTTTTCTTATTTGTGTATGTTTTAATTGTTTTTAGCTTTATTTTTTTGTTTTTATTTAAATGTTTTAGTTTTGAAATGTTGTTGTATGCATTTGTCATTTTTATTGAATTTATTTTATTTTCTTAAATGTGTGTATATATATAGTATTTATAGAGTTTTAGCTTTTAGTTTTCATTACTTTTTCTTATTTGTAAGTCGCTTTGGATAAAAGCGTCTGCTAAATGACTAAAAGTAAAGTAAAGTAAAAGTAAGATAACTTTAAGTTGTTAAATGTGTTTACACTCACACTTGGGACTACTGGTTGATTCATTAATATTCATGAGCCAAGCCTTCGCTAATTCTAATGCATACTTAGCGTTGTCTGTCTTTCAGCCAATCAACTTGGGCGAACGCAACGTCACGTAAATGAATATTAATGAGCCAAGTCCTGCCACAAACATCAGCTGCATGACGCTCTGGGTGGATCCAGGTAGAAACACTGATGCTGATGATAAATACTGCTGTCATCTCGATCAGATCACATTCACTGCTTCATCATGGACATCGATCTGTGCTCAGGTAAACAGATACAGAGCTTATGAATCAGAAAACACATTGGTTGATTTCTAAGAGAAACTAACAGTTGTATTCCTGTTTTTGAGCAGCTGCTGAGGGTGATGAGGTGAAGAAGCAGGAGGGCAACGAGGTGGAGTCTGGAAAAAAGGATGAAGATAAAGACAAATGTCTAGAAGATAAAGATAAAGAGTGCAAGGACAAAGACAAGGACAAAGATAGTGACAAGGTGAAGGTAAGAATATTTAATAATCTTGATAATCATTACTTGTTTTAGAAACATCAGCATGTGTGGCATATCATAATCATCATTTTCAGTTCAATGTTATATTGATTTTTATACTAAAGACTTCTCAGTTCTATACACATAAAGATGCAAATTGTTGACAGGGATGAAAAGTATCGGATTTGCGTATAGAACAGGGTTATTATTGTTAACTAAAAACTGAAACTAAAACTGAAATAAAGAAAATTAATAATGACAAAAACACACATCAAAATGACTAAAACTTTCAAATCTACAACTCTACAAACAAACTAACAAAATAAATATATTAATAAAAACTATAATAGTATCTCAGTGATTCCTATTAAATCAAAATGTTTGCTTTGATCTTTACTTTTTTTAACCCCTTCCACTCCACACACTTTTCATTTAAAGCCACTTTTCGGTCTCCTGATGTGTACATAATCAGATTACAGAAGTAAAATGGGTTGCGAATGTTGTTTAGTGTTGAGTTCGACCCGGAAGACTCCTTTCAAGAGCTCAAAAATGTCGTTTAGCCCTCGAGGGTTAATAATGATGTAAAATGAGAGCTGTTACTACATGCCGGTGTATAGAATGTGATGCATGATACTGTTTTATAAACGCTTTTTCAGAGTGATTGCAAAGAAAAGAAAAAAGACAAAGAGTGCAAAGACAAAGATAAGGACAAGTGCAAAGACAAGGACAAGAAGAAGAATAAAGAGCACAAAAAGGGGCACGGACACGGACACGGTCACGGACGCGGACGCGGACACAGATCATCCTCTTCATCCGATGATGAGGTAACTTTGTGCTTTTGCTATGAATTTAGAGTCACTTAATAAAAACAAGCCTGTCATAATTCATCATTTACTGATTCTGAAGGTTTTGTGGGACACAGAAGGAGATCTTAAGCATATCGACTTCTTGTATGGTGATTTTTGGTCTTTTTGGTGCAGTTTGGTGTCATTAGTTCATTTATGAGCAGTCAAAGTTTGTGTTAAGAGCTGGTTGTGTTTTTTTTAATAACTCTAAGGACGTGATAGTTGTGTATCGCAAAACCTGCTGATCTTCAGGTGTGGTGCACACTTACATTCGTAAAGATGCTCTAGGGCACATCCTTCATTCTTTGGTTTTGCTTAACTAGAGTTCAGAGCAAAAGACTCAAATGAATCGTTTTGATGATTCGATTGGATGAGCTACGTTTGATGCTATTCTACATAAACACAGTAAACTTTCTTCCTAGTTGACTCTGTATTTTCACATTCATCATGTTTCGTTTTCCTCACTCTCACATGTAAGTAATGTAAAACAATTCTGGCCTGTCTCAATCTGCTTATAAACTCCTGGTTAAAGTCTAGTGCTTTCATAGACTGACTTTTCTAGTCTGTTGCGGCTCCGCCCCGGCTGTAATGCAGACAAACTGGTTTATTTGTTGAAGAGAGGACAAAAATATGCTTGAAAGATTTTCCAGGAACCGAATGCATGACCAAAAATCATAGTTAAATGTGTTTTTAGCTGTGTTTCTCAAATCATTTCTGTAAAGTCACAAGCACTTTATCCATATTATTATTTACATTTACATTTCTTCTTTAGAACAAGAACTATTACATATGATGTTTTTCATAGAAAACTGGAAGTTGACATTGTTCTCTCTCTGTTTGTAGAACTAAAGCTGAAGACTGAAGACATAAGAGTGACTGGGGCAAGTTGTCACATGGGGGGGGTGCCCTAAGGGCTTTATATCAGTAACTGTGAGGTTTTGAGTAAAAAAAAAATCCAATTGCACAAATTAACGTGTACAAATACAGTGGTTTTATATGTTGGTTTTAAACACCTATTGCACCATTGAATTAGGATAATATATTTTATGAATTCTGTCCTACAAACTAAAATTCCAGTACTATTATATTTTTATATATCAATGCAAGCTGTTACATGATTTTTTTTCTCACATTTTTTGCAGTTTGTTTTACTGTTAAAAACATTATATAATAAGCCTATAATACATGTAATAAATAGCCTATAATGCATTTTTAATATTATATTGTGGAAAATGGATTGATGTGTTAGTATGTCATTTTTTTCTCAAAACAGATTTATCCCATATACTGTGACAACATGCCCCGCTAAAGGTCAACATGTCAGCAGATCATGTTTAATTAACAGGTGTTTTTGTTGTTGTTGTTTTTGATAAGAAGGTTTGTGACTATTGAAAAACTGACTTTTCAAAATAAACTCCATGAGAAATATTTGTTGGTACAAAAATCGCCATGGACTCTTTTATTTACAATGCAATACACCTTATATTGACTGTAAAATGCTTTATTTTTATGTTCATAATATGATCCCATGTGATGTGTGCATTTTTATAACAAAATGCAATTTTTTAAAAGAGAAGTAATTGAATAAATTCTTAATTTACAGACTATTATATTATATACTAAACCCACATAAGGCACCTAACACAACACAAAACTGGAACTGTTGCGACATATATAGGCGTGGATTTGTTGCTATTGAAGTAGGAGTGCAGAACAGATACTTCCGTCAATGCACACCTGACTGAATCACCTGAACGCCCGCCCAATCACACGACCTAATTAATATTCATGAGCCAAGCCTTGCGCTTATTCGCCAACTACCTATCGCTCACGTACAAGCGTCTGCCGTTCAGCCAATCAGATAGTCCGACTGGCGAACGTCAGGTTGCGTAATTAATATTCATGAGACAAACCCTTGCAGCTCTTTGCTGAAAACACAGATCTTACACAAGCGTCGATAAGAGAGTTTGATAACTGGTTCATCATGGACTTCGATCTGGGCGCAGGTAAACTGCTGCAAAGCTGATTTAGCATTTTATTTTTTAATTAAATCAAGAAACACTATAGTTGAATGTAAACGAATGCGGCTTTTGTTCACTCTCTCTGCTTTTCCAGCTGTTGGAGATGATCAGGTGAAGAAGTCGGAGGGCAAACAGGTGGAAGGTATCTTTGGGTTTGGAAAGAAGGATAAAGACAAAGAAAAGGGCAAGGAAAAGAGCAAAGACAAGGTAAACATGTTTATATTCATAATTATCTAATCAGAAAAAACACACACACATCAAGGTTACAATAGCCTAGACACATTTCTGTTGTGATTGTATTGTTGTCATCAATATTGATAATAAGAGACATGGAAAAAAACATCTTATGAGTGTTATACTTGACCAGATGAACAGGAAAAATATCAGTTAGCCCTGGATAACTTTGCATATGGAAATAATGTTGATAATGTTACAGATATTGAATTTTAATCATCTCTCCCAGAACGGTTGCCCGTCTAAAACATCTTCAGTTCAAGGTTTTAACTTTTACACTTAAAAACAGCTTTTAGTCATTTTAAATAAAGGAACAAACTGTTTGATGTGTCTGTTTAAGTGGGAAATATGAGAGTTCCTCACGTACGTAACGTGCTGGAAAAGATGTGACTGTCTGCTGTTTAATGCAGTGATATTTTGTTTTAATTTATGTTAATTTTTTTCAGAGTGATTCTAAGCATAAGGATGAACACAAAAAACACAAAGATAAAGAACATAAAGACAAAGGCAAGAAGAAGAAGAAAGACAAGGAGCACTAGAAGAAGGGCGGTGGCAAGTCCTCCTCTTCCTCCAGCGATTCGGTAATTATTTCTCTTTTTTAACACAATTTTAATGCACATATTATATTAATGCACAGGTGCAATCTGAAGGTATCAACATGAGGAGCAAGGTTTAGATCAGGAGTGAATCATTTACAATTACTAGCTTTAATTATGTCCGTGAAAGCAGTGGACAGACTGCTGGATAGTGATCATTAATTATTAATTAATACAGCAGGGTTGGGCTCCATAAACGCCATAATAGTGGCGTCTCGTAAAACCGGTTGATCCCGAGGTGTGGTCCAGCTGTACGGATCTAAAGCTTTCAAATGGCCAGAGACTTGATTCTTCAGGGTCTCCTGGAAAGTTTAGCAGTGATTTATTCCCGTCCCACACAGCGTTCCAGCAGTTAGACGTCACTTATCACCCAGATATCACACATTTGGAGACACACCCGCTGAGGAATTTCCAAAATAACGGCGTTATTCAGACACAGAGGGATAGGATCTTTGTGGAAACACACTGAACAATACACTTGAACCTTGAAGCTAAACTATAACCTGTTTAGTGAGTATAGATAAGGTCGGAGAGGGGAAAACAAATCCTGGTTACTATAGTAACACATAGACTTCTATAGGGAAAATAGTTCAAAGAGAATTTTTTCAAAAGATAGATGATACATTATTTAAAAAAATTAATTAAATTTTTTTTTTATAATAAACTAAATTTATATATATATATATATATATATATATAATTTTAT